ATGGTGGTTGTACAACAATGAAGGGGCGGGATGACAGAAGGCAGTTGAATGGGCAGAATGACTTTGATGTGGGCGAGGGAGCAGGTGTCAAGGGGCAGTAGAGAGCTGGGGGGGAATATAATGAAATCATTATGCTCGTGGATGTGCTTCAACTTGGAAGCAAACAAAAAAAATGCCACAAAAGTGCTCTCAGAAAACATGGGTGGGGGAGAGAGCGAACAGAAAGTGAAGCAAGCACTAAAGGGAGGAAAACGTATGCAGAAAGGGGTGTGTGGGGGAATGATGGACATGTATACTGAATATGACAGAAAACACACATGCGTAAAGGCCACAGTCAGGTAGTCACAGCCAAAAGACCGACATGTGGACATGTCGTGTCAGGTGAGGCCAACTGACCTGTCCTGTGCTTGTTCCTTTAGCACAATGGTCTTCATCCTGTGGCGTTTTAGGTGCTGGGTCATGAGCCCCTATAGAGCAGCCAATTTGATGCTGCCTTTTGGAAGAATCTGCTTCTGGTGGGCATGCATAGAAGGAAGGGCACCAGATGAGATTACTGTGTTAGAGAGGATCTGTGCTTTACCTCCTGATGCCTGGCTTGTGTTTCCTGCCCCAGGCTCTCTTAATCTGTTGCTCATGGCTCTGGCCTTGACACTAGAGATGTCATAATTCTGGGTCCATCTTCCAGACTAGGGGTGCCAACAGACCTGGAGAAAAATATCCTATCCCTTTAACAGAGGTCTAATGAGATGTTATTTGGCAGATAATGTTATTTGTCTCTGTGCCATGTTGAAGCTCTACATGGGCACAGAGACAAACAACATTATCTGCCAAATAACATCTCATTAAGCCCCTATTAAAGGGACTGGAATTTTTCTCTAGGCCCACTGGCAACCCTGTTCCTGACTCATGACTTTGTCACACAGCTGTGATTTCACATGGTTTCCTATTAAATACCTGCTGCAGTTCAGTGGGTCCCAGGTCTGGAAATGTTGGAGAGCACTGCTTTGGCCGATCCCTCTAATGTAAATGGTGAAATACTTCAGAAATTTGAAGGGAGGTTCCAGGAAATGGTAGATTCTGCATTGGAAATCACTGAAGATTGCTGCATTTGAATATGCTTTATGGATGTCTATGTCCAGCACGATTCTTGAAAAAAATTACTGAAACGGATTTAGAACCGGGGGTCCGTCAAGTCAGCTGGCAAAACACTACTACATCCTTTCAGATTAAGGACTTTCTTGAACTCACATAAGTTGTGTGGCAAAACTCCACCTGTGAATTTCTCCTTGTTTCATACTTCACCAGTGAATTCCTATCTGTTTTTGAAAAATTGTTCTACTTCTACCTGTTTTTGGAAAATTTGTTCTACTTTATATGTTTAATTAAATTTATTGATCATTGATGTTAAATTTGGGCACATGTATTTTTTCTTGTTTTGATGCAAAAATTAGATGACATTTTCCCATGCCTAAAACTAAAAACTCCACATACTCACTAGTTAATGCAGAATAGTGTTAAAGGAACAACTATAGAGCACTCTTTTAAAAGTTCATAGCCCTTCCTATTCTGGATTCTGTTAATGCAGACGAAAACTCCAAATATAAATTATATGTGAGAACTAGGCATCTGAAGACACCAGCACACCATAAAGTTCTGTTTATTTATCTTAGAACAACATTATCTGCCAAATAACATCTCATTAAGCCCCTATTAAAGGGACTGGAATTTTTCTCTAGGCCCACTGGCAACCCTGTTCCTGACTCATGACTTTGTCACACAGCTGTGATTTCACATGGTTTCCTATTAAATACCTGCTGCAGTTCAGTGGGTCCCAGGTCTGGAAATGTTGGAGAGCACTGCTTTGGCCGATCCCTCTAATGTAAATGGTGAAATACTTCAGAAATTTGAAGGGAGGTTCCAGGAAATGGTAGATTCTGCATTGGAAATCACTGAAGATTGCTGCATTTGAATATGCTTTATGGATGTCTATGTCCAGCACGATTCTTGAAAAAAATTACTGAAACTGATTTAGAACCGGGGGTCCGTCGAGTCAGCTGGAAAAACACTACTACATCCTTTCAGATTAAGGACTTTCTTGAATTCACATAAGTTGTGTGGCAAAACTCCACCTGTGAATTTCTCCTTGTTTCATACTTCACCAGTGAATTTCTATCTGTTTTTGAAAAATTGTTCTACTTCTACCTGTTTTTGGAAAATTTGTTCTACTTTATATGTTTAATTAAATTTATTGATCATTGATGTTAAATTTGGGCACATGTATTTTTTCTTGTTTTGATGCAAAAATTAGATGACATTTTCCCATGCCTAAAACTAAAAACTCCACATACTCACTAGTTAATGCAGAATAGTGTTAAAGGAACAACTATAGAGCACTCTTTTAAAAGTTCATAGCCCTTCCTATTCTGGATTCTGTTAATGCAGACGAAAACTCCAAATATAAATTATATGTGAGAACTAGGCATCTGAAGACACCAGCACACCATAAAGTTCTGTTTATTTATCTTAGAACCAAGTAAAAACTGGAAATTAAGAATATTACATCTCATCAGTATATTTTCAGTTTCAAGAGGATCACAGCACATCAATAAACTTTCTAGGCGCATGCTGTTATTTGCCACTGACATGCACCCAGGATTCGATACAGTTGGAACATGGTGAGTGCACAGAAACTACACAGCAGGGGGGGAAATTCAAACATAATAGGCAAAACTGGAGCGGAATGGTCCTAGGGCTGGTTTTCACAATATTGAGTGCTGAAAGTAGCTCTGACTTCCCCTGGAACATATATTTACCTGTGTGATCCAGATGATCACAAATACAGCTGAAAATTATTTTCAAAATCATTTCCATTCTTTTTTCACCCTCCACCCGGCTCAGTCACAGAAATTATGGCCGTCAGTATCTATGATCAGGCATTTTATTAATCCACATGAGCAGGTACCCAGGAAAGATAAAGACTGCGCTCTAAGAACTGGTCTTTCTGATTCAACTTCTGTATTGGAAAGGAGCATAAAGAGTTTACAGAACATTTATAAAGTTACTTTTACAAATGCTAAAGAATCCAGCCCAGTAAGATAGCTCAACAATGTATATTTCATTAGACTAACTTGTGTTGGTATAAATGCAATAAACAAAGATTTTTCAGATTCATCACTCCTAAACCCTTGCTTACCCTGACCTGGATAGCCCAGGCTAAACCAGTCTCATCAAATCTCAGAAGCAGGGTCAGCCCTCACTAATATTTGGATGGGAGACCTCCAAGAAGTGCCACGGTTGTAACATGGAGGCAGGCAATGGCAAACCACCTCTGAACGTCTCTTGCCTTGAAAACCCTACAGGGGTTGTCATAAGTCAGCGGCACTTTCCACCACACCACATAAGCCATTGCTTAATGTCAGTGGGCATGTGCATTACACAGAAGAGGCAGCTGGTAAGAAGAAGATTTACAGTCTAGATCAGATGACCATGGATGGGATGGGCAGAGAGGTGAAGAACTGACATTAAATAGTGAAGCTGAGCAGACCGGGTTTACATTTTCACCAGTAGTTGTTCCAGTGAAAAAAGATACCTATATGTCTCTTCTTCTTTAGTATTAGTGTTCCAAAGAAATCAAGACAGTTTCAAGGTATTTTTTTTAAGAAAAAAAGTATTCTCATAATACTAATATGTCCCCGAGCAGCTATTTAACAAACCAGAGTTACAGTCAACAGCATTTCTGAAATCAGATTAAAATAATTAACTGTGGTATTCTTCTCCCGAGGATAGGTCTGCCAACAGGCCTGGGGGGAAATGTCTCCCTTTAATATTTATTTAATGCAATTTATATCCCGCCGTCCCCGCAAGTGGGCTCAGGGCGGGTTACTACAACAAATAAAACAGTAACCATAAAACATTATTAATTCCAATTTAAAACCTGATACCAGTTTAAATACCTAAAACATGATGGTGATCCAAAGATTACATAAGCCCAGAGTGCACGCTGTATGGAATGCTGGGGGAGGTGTGTTTAAGCAGGTGAGCCAAACTGCCATCAGCATAAGGCAGATTCAAGCAGGGGAGGCCAATATAATTGGACATCTGCTGCTTCAGCCAAAGGCCTGGCGGAACAGCTCTGTTTTGCAGGCCCTGTGGAATTGTAATAAGTCCCGCAGGGACCAGATCTCAAGTGGCTTAAAAGAGGCTTAACCAGGGCTTTTTTTGTAGAAAAAGCCCAGCAGGAACTCATTAGCATAATAGGCCACACCCAACACCAGAAACTCATTGGCATATTAGGCCACACCCCTGACAGCACAGCTCATTGGCATATTAGGCCACACCCCCATGTTACCAGAAGTGTGCTCATCCAGCCACACCCACCTTTTGCTTCTTATTCTGTTTACCTTGTTTGTTGTCCAAACCCAGGGCTTTTTTGTAGCAGGAACTCCTTTGCATGTTAGGCCACACACCCCTACTGTAGCCAATCCTAATGAGTTTCTGGTGTTGGGTGTGGCCTATTATGCTAATGAGTTCCTGCTGGGTGTGGCCAACTTGGAAGCCAGCCGGAACTCAGTTCCTGTGCGTTCCTGCCCAGAAATAGCCCTGGGATTAATGTGTGGAAACAGGCAGCTGAAGTTTTTCATGCCATGGAGGTTAATAATATCATCAGGTAAAATAATATCCCATTAAGTCTTGTCCTTTGAATGACTGACTTTTCTCCAGGTAGTTGGCAACCTTACCCTGGGAGTCATTTCCCTTTGGACATGACAGGTAGCAAGACTCCTTCTCCAGTTTCATCTTTCCCAATGTCTGTAGAGCTGAGTAGCAAAGCAGCAGAGATCCTCTTTTCCCGCCATTTCATTCCACGTGGTACTGGACTCCAAGCGGAATTTTAGAGATGTATAAAAAGTGGGGCATCGTTGAGCCTCGGCTGTGAGAATGGCAGTCTTCAGTTCAGCTGCATTCAGGATGCTGCTGGCCTTTCTTCTGCAAGTGGCCGTCCCTTAAAAAGAATGGGAAGCTACAGATGCCCATGTGGAATCTGTTAGTCTGGGAACAGCAGGCTCCAATTGTATTTCAATGCTGCTGGAAACTGTTCCTGTCAGAGGAACTGGAGCAGATGAGGATGTGGCAGGCAATGGGATGTTGCGCAGGAATGTGCCTGGGGGGCTGCTGTTTACGTCACTGGCAAGGTTGGTAATATTAACAGCATTGTTGCTGACTGTCCACAGGCATGGATAGTGGCTGCAATGAAGCAGTGATAAAAGAGAGTCACTGAAATATGCAAGGGGCAGGGGGCTAGTAGAGCACTTATTGCTGAAAATCATTCAGTGACCAGTCCAAATTACTTGGTTCTTTTGAAAATCCCAGTGAAGAGACATGGAAATAGTTCAAAGTTGGATGCAGTAGTTACTTCTCTATACAGTAAAGTGTCTGTTGTCAGTCAGGACTCTAAAGCATACACAGGAGAGCGATCCCCACATAAAAAATATCATTTGGAAAACATGTTCACATAATGGTGGTGGAATATGTCACACTGAAAATATTTTAGGATCTCCTCTTTGGAACGGAGAGCCAGAAAAGCCCACTGACAACACTCAATGCACTTGAAAGTCAGTTGTAATGTTTCCTAGGTTTCCACGAAGCAATCCAGTGAATAAACACAGTGATCCATATCATCATCTCTTCCAGTTACATTACAGTAAGGCATTTTATGTGGGACTAGTCTGAAGATGGTTCAAAAACTTTAAGTCAGTCCAGAATGCAGCAGAAAGACTGCTACCAGGCATGGACTGACTATATATCTATTTCCCAAGGGTGGTCCCCATCTGCAGATACCTAAATCCACAGATCAGGGCCACACTTACCCAAGATACCCCCTCCAAGTTTGCAGAAAAGTCTGAAATGCTACAGAGCCCAGGAACTGTGGCGGAGACGAAGCAGCCCAGGACCCACGCCAGGTTAGGTGGCAACTGCCAGAGAGCATGGGAGCCATGCCAGGCCAGTGGAAGGGGGCATGGGATTTCCCCCAGGAGTCTGCAGGCCTCCACTTGTAGATAATATTTCTCCCCAATGGTGAATGCACTTCAATGGTTGCCTAGTCATATACAGGTCTAATGAAAGAAGCTTGTTTTAACCTTTAAGGCTGTGTATGGACTGGGACCAGGATATCTGAAACTCTTCCTGCTCCAGTGTATATGTTTCCAAACATTATGTTAATCATCACAGGTCCTGCTTTATGTCTCCCCGGTAGGCCAAGCAGCCACAAAGAATACAGTGGCATCCTTGTACAAGTACCTTGTACAAGTCACCCATCCATTCACCTACTTACAGCCATTGTTGGCCATCATTCAGCACCCGGCTAAGACGCTTTTCTTTAAGCAAGCATTTCATTAACAACGTACCCCATCTGTGATTGTTTCCCCACCACTACCCTTAAATCAATGCCTGTGTGTTATTGCTTTATGAGTTGTTGTTGTTTTCCCTCTGGCCTGTATTGTTCGCTGCTATGGTTAATTTGCCGGAAATTGATTTTAGAGTGGATTTGGGTTTTTAAACTGTTTATATCTATATTGAATACATCTATCATGTTGTGAACCACCTCAAGCATGAGTGCTGAGAGGCTGCATATAAATATTTGAAATAAATAAAATGGTTTCAGTATATACGTTTGTAGCTCCTTAATAAACTAGCCTGTTCTTTTTTAACCAAAAACCGTATACCAGGGCTGCATCCACACAAGGAGGATGGTCTGTTTCCCTGTCACTGATGCCACAGATATGAGGTATTCACAGTAGCCACAGAGCATAGGACTCTCCTCCATCAGCGGCCACTGTCCTTACATTTCCCCATCATGCTTCCAGAGAGCTTTTTAAGTCCCCACACACACACACACTTTTGGTAACTGCTATTGTTTACTTACTTTAGTTTTATTTATATCCTGCTTTTCTCTCTGATCCGGGACCCAAAGCAGCTTTTCACAATCCTCAAAACAACCACCTTGTTAGGGTAGCTCAGGCTGAGAGATTGTCACAGGCCCAAAGGTCACCTGGTGGGCTTCCATGGTTGAGCAAGAGATTCAAACTCGGTTGTTCCAGGTTCTAGTCTGACACTCTAACCACTATGCCACACAAGCCCTATTGTGCTATCATGCAATAAATAACGATGTATTATCATGATTGATTAATTCCTCTGAATACCTACTGAACTCCTAGCTGATTGTTCCAACCCATTTTAAAACCCAAAAGCCCTCTGGTGTCACAGCAAGAAAAACGGCAGCTGCACTGGACCTTTAAAGTTGCACAAGTTTTGCTAACACACTTGGACTGCATTCCTGTTTTTGAAAAAATTATACCCAACTAGCCTTGAGAAACAATGTACCAAGGATTAGAACAGCCTAGAAAGTGGATGATTAGAGGATGATGTTATGTGAGTGCTCCAAAAAACCCACAACAGTTTAGAAGCTAAGACAGAGGAATACTTCCACGTAGATATAGCCTAACATAGCTGTGAACTTGAGTTTGAAATATGTAGTGACTTGAACCCAGCTGACTGGGTTGAGGAAACTGTCAGCTGGAATGAGAAACCTCTCTATTCTAGAACGTAAATCAAAACTACTAGATTTGATCTACAGAACCACTGGAGAGGTAAACCCCCAGCCTCCTGTCAGAGTTCAGTAAGACATTCAGATGATTCCATTCTTCTCATATTCAGTAGAAAAGAATGAGCAAGGAAGGAATAGACATTCCACAGCTCTCAAGCAATAAATTTAAGAGGGTTACCCCTTTTGAGGCCACATTATATGTGAAGGATCCTTCACAGATCAAAAGGGGCGAATACACTGATTGCTGCTGAGGTCACTGGGGTGCTGATATTTTATGCAAATTGCTTACCTAGGTCCTGGGGTAGCAGTACCATTATTGTGCGACACTGGGAGCAAGTTGGCATGGGGACTGGATGGAACCGAAGTCCAGCCTTCTTGGCCTGGGGATACTTGAAGATCACTGTTGGTGCTCTCTATCAAATTCACTTTGTAGGGATTTTTAGGGAAAATGCAAGAAGTTCAGAAGCTGTAGCATGTTTCTAAGAAAATTATCTTAAGATACGAAGTCAGATTGATTTTTAACACTGAAATAAATATGGGAGGGAATAAAAAGTAGAGTGAACTGGTGACTTTTCTTTATTCACTTCATCTTGCTCACTGTTTTTTGATCATTCAAGGATCAAGAATAGTATTCAAAATCAACATATAATGTAAATAAATCTTGATAATACCTGTGACATTATTCATATATATACTGTTGATAGGTAGTTTCAGGTGGGTAGCTGTGTTGATCCACAGTAGAAGAGCAAGATTTGAGTCCAGTACACCCTTAGAGAAGCAAGACTTCCAGGTCAGATTTCAGATCTGACCAAGGGAGCTTTAACTCTCCAAAACTTATAACCTCAAAATCTTGTTTGCCTTCAAGGTGCTATTGGACTTGACTGTTGATAGGTATGGCTGCCACATTAAGGTTGCTTTAAACAAAAAGAAGTGGAGGATAGTTATGTCCCCTCCTGGGTTTCAGATCACCTATTTTATTTATTTATTTATTTAAAATATTTTTATGCCACTTTCCTACCTGATCAGGGTCCCCAAGGCAGCACACATATAACATTAAAACATATGACTGTTTCTCAGGAGCATCTATATCTTTGGCAGTGATAACAGGTATCCTTGATGGTCCACAGAAAAATTTCAGAAAAAAATAGAAGTGTAATATCGTTTTATCTAGGGTCAACCAATATCACAAACTAGTGAACAAATGTTTGAGTTCCCCAGAACATCTTGAGCCAACTTCTGGAACAAGGGAGCTACAGAACCACTATATGAAGGCAGCTTGTGGTGAGCTCCATGTTTATGGTTGAAAGTGAGCAATAGGTCTTATGAAACAGAGATTAATAATAAGGATTGCCTTGCTGGATAAAACCAAGGTTGTGGAGACCAACATGCTGTTTCTGAAAGTGATTAGCCGTACCCCTCTGGAAAGTTTGCAAACAGTTTATGCGATGTATTGTTTCTCTTTCATTGTTCTTTAATTTGTGTAATCCAGTTTTATTGTCATTGTTCATGGTATGTACTATACCATCTTTATTGCATTGCCTTTTATAACTCTGTAATCTGCCTTGAGTCTATGAGAAAGTCAGATGGCATATGAAGTAATTTAACTAATAAATAAAAGAAGGTTTTGGGATGCTCCTCAAAGGGTCTGTGTGTAATGAAAGCAATAGACAATCATATTGATAAGTCACTACAGTCTTGTTCAGAGGCCCAAATACCAGTCTGTTTCAACAAAAGGTTGCTTAAAATTCAGGGAGATAAAGATACATGGAGAATAGGTTTATCAGAGGCCACTAAAGGGAACCTCCATATTATATACCAGAGCCAAGTAGGTTGCCAGCTCCAGGTTGGGAAATACCTAAAAATTTTGAGGGTGGAGCCCGAGGAGGGTGAGGTTTGGGGAGAGGAGGGGCTTCAATGGGGTATAATGCCATACAATCCATCTTCCAAAGTGATCATTTTCTCCAGGTGAACTGATCTCTGTTTCCTGGAGTGCAGTTGTAATCCCAGGAGATGTTCAGCTACCATCTGGAGATTGGCAACCCTGCCAGGAGACAACAGCAGGGGGAGACCTCTATGCCCTGTTGTTGTCAATCCAGAGTAACTGATTGACCACTATGTGAAACAGGATACTTGACTAGATGGACTAGATACTAGACCAGATGATCCAGCCAGGCTCTTCTTGTGTTCTTAAAACTGATCTGGCATATTCTATTCTGTTCATGAGAGAAAAAACTATTAAGACAAATGCTGTTTATAAAACAAGACCAGTTCACAAACTCGTCACTTTTCATCACACTGGGGAATGTCCATCTGTCAAATCTGTTTTCTGGGGAATGCGTTTTTACTTTTCCAGACAGAAATAATTTTGTACAGACCTCAGAGTTATTCCAGAGGTCAGAACAGTGTGAGACGGGAACTATCAATACTCATGAATTTCTCTACTGTTCATTGTTCTTTGTTGTAATCTTAAGAACCTTTGCTCTCTCTTTTTAAAGGAAATGGGAGCCACTTATCCATTTCTTGAATCAATACAAGGGACGGCAGGAAATATCTCTCAGTTCTCCCTGCTTTGATTTATCTATTATTTCTTCTGTAGAACATGTCTGATTATTTAGATATGGGATACTGGGAATATATTTATTAAAGTATAACATTTAAAGCATTTGCTCTTTCCCCATCAGGAAAAAAAATGACAAGGACTTGCCTGATGGGGAGTGATTTCTCTGCATGTAAGAGGCAGGATACGGTACTGCTCTGTGTCCTCGGAGGGCGGCTGAATAGTGTTCACAGCTGTGATGAGAATGTGATGTGGGCAGAGAAAAAGGGCCACTGTACTGATAGCTTGAATTTCCTGCAGCACACACTGCATCTGGGTTGGAAATCAACCAGCCACCCACTATGGAGAAAGAGATAAACAGAATTGATCTTTTTTAATGGAGGAAAAAAGACTTCTGTGGCAATCTTAAAAATTAAGGTGAAATTCACATATGACATTTAAAGCAATATATCTGCCTTTCTTCCACAATTGGTCTATGTGTGTAAAAGCAGAAAAGCAGTTCTAAAACTGCAAGAACCAGAATTATGATTTCTTAAAGGGGGGGGGGGTAGTTAAATGCACACACACCAGATTTCTGAAGTGACTGATAGCCATTGAGGGAGGTTGATACACAAGTGCATTGCAACCTTCATGAACTCCGTAATGTATGAGTCATTTTGATATTAACAGATATATTGTAAATGTAAAGGTTTCCCTTGCTCAAAAGCCAGTCAGATCTGACTCTAGAGGGCGGTGCTTATCTCTGTTTCCAAGCCAAAGAGCCAGCGCTGTCCAAAGACATTTCTGTGGTCATGTGGCTGGCATGACAACGTTGAGGCGCATGGAATGCTGTTACCTTCCCACCGAAGTGGTACCTACTTATCTACTTGCAATTTCTTGCTTTCGGACTGCTAGGTTGGCAGGAGCTGGGGCCAGAGACGGGAGCTCACTCCATCACGCGGCACTTGGGTCTCGAATTGCCGCCGAGCTACTGACCTTCCAGTCTGCAGCTCAGTGTCTTAACCTCTGAGCCACCACATCAGGCTAAAGTCCACTTCACCAAATATAAAGGAGTCCTTAAAAGCTTACTCCACAATAAGGCTTCAATTTTTTTTGGCTGCAACAGACTCACAGACCTCCCCCCAAAACAGCATACAGTCATATCATTTCATTATTTAACGAAAACAACAAGGAGCTAAACTACTCAACCCTACCCCACTTTTGCCTGCATATTGTTTTGTACTTAGAATATAGTAGCCTTGGGCAGGGTGCAGGGACAGATTTTAGCCAGTCCATGGAGATCACATCTAATCTGTTCTCACCCCCTACCCAAGAATACTGTATTCTTAGCATGAGTTGTCTTTTGTACTGGCAGAGGGGGAGTGATTTGTGTTTTGCCATTTCCCCCTTCCCACTAAAGAACACCATGTCATAATCCTCGCTGCTCCTGACGGTCACTCACTAACCCACAGGAGCTTTGGGAGAAAACAAGTGAGCTGCAGTGGTCTTCTTGCAATCCTTTCAATCCTATACAATATATATGAGCAGCCTTTTGTCTTAAACAATGATTGATTTCCCACAAGCAGCTGTACCGCCCTCGCTCTTCTCTTCCCCCGATTGTATTCTTCAATTTCCCACTATTTGATGCGCGTCCACATTTTGACCCGCAGCTTCACCCAATTTCCCCCGCTAATGGTTTATTGGGTAATCAGCACATAACAGAAGTAAACAAATTTAGCTGAAGTGGGGAAAGTTATATTTATGTTCTGTCATCCATAAAATGCCAAAATTAGGGTGGGAATATGGAAGGGTTATTGAATCTCCTTTCCTGGGCACAAGTCATATGGTAGCTTCTAGGAATAAAAGAAACTGTAAACAAATGATAGAGAATAACCATTGAAATTTATTGGTTTCTTCCAAATGGCTATAGTAATTTGCCAAGTTTCCAAAAGGCTACTAGCCCATATTAAAGCAAAGGAGATTGGCTGCTTACACAGTGATCTTCAACAATTGTCTCTAATTGGCTGCCTAAAATGTCCTGGCAGACTACAATGCTTCTTTTCCAGCATTAATAATAAAAAATAAATTAGATTCCAATAATCATTATTTGGCATTTGTTTTTGTTTGTTTTAAGGTCAGTTATCCCTGCATTGCCTTTTATACTTTTCCCTGAAACATATGGTATTGATCACAGTCAGACCAGAGAGGTAAAGCAGATGGAATATGGGTCTTCTCTGGTTAGATCTACCTATTCAGAGTATCAAAAAGATATCAAGAAAACTTACAGTGAGAATATGTCATGTGCTGACTTTCAGAGGCAGTATCTGGAAAATCCTTCGTATGGTTTCTGAAAGAAATTAATATCAAATTCTCTTTGACAATCTTAATGAAATGCCCCTCACACTCAAAACCTCCCCACAGCAACATGAAGCCCATTGGGTGAGCTTGGGCCACAGCCTGTCCTACTGGACAAGATTGTTGTAAGGATAAAATGGAGAAAACCTATGCATGTCATTCTGAGTTACCTGCAGAAAGGATGGTATATGATTGTGGTCATAATGATAAAAAATACCACAGTGTGCCTTACATTACAATTATGATTGCCCTTTCCACACTGCAGATAGCAAGACTTGGGGAATAGAGACCAGGCTTATCTAAGGTCATACCTGCACACTCAAATCTGCATTTGCATTTTTAAATCAGTTCCGTGCTGCTGTGAAGCCATCTTTCTCTATGTTTGTTTAAATGTTGTTTGGAGAAGATTCTTTTAAAGCAGTGCAGAGGTGCAATGACAGTGGAGCCGCCAGGAAGGACGATAAACATATGTGGACGTGCAAAAGTATGCTAGCACTGTTGAGGTGTGAAAACGACACCAAATGTAGACAGCTTTTTTTAAGACAAGAGATTTTTTGAAGACAGAGTCAGAAGGCTGGGACACCGGTGGGAAAGACAAATGCAGATTCCGCCTAAGTGCAGTAGGTATCATGAGACTTACCAGCAAGTGAACTCACCTTTCTTTTGCATCCAGAAAGGCTTTGGCAAAGGGATTGTACTTGATTTTGAGGGCTGTTATCTTGAGTTGGGGAGAGAAAAAAGTTTTGTTAACAAGGTTATCTGAAGTTGAAAGAGGCTATGTCCACATTTTCCAGAGTCACAGAAATGGGCTTTAGTTTTACCCCTGACCATTAAGACATGTGCAACCATGTATTTCCTGCATTGTGCAGGGGGTTGGACTAGATGACCCTGGAGATCCCTTCCAACTCTATGATTCTATGTATTCTATTTAACTAGGCATTTACCTATCAGTTAAGCTCTCCACTCTGAAAGTGTGCCCTCTTCTAAAGCATTGTTATTTTACTGCCAGAAGATACATTTGAATTGGCAAAGAATTTCTGTTCTACCTTTGCTACAAATGCTTCTTCCATATGCCATTGAATAGCTGACACACAAGAAAGGAATCCACGGGGCTGCTATATTAAAAGGTGATACCAGATACACAGTCTCCATGCTTCAGAGCAACAGCCAGGATTCTGTTGGCTGTATGATTACATCATAATGAACAGTGACCAATACTTGTCCCCCCCTTGAGCCATTTGCAGCAACTTTTTAAAGAAGCACTACTGAACTAGACACATGATTAATCAAATAAATCTTTTATAAAGGATCCTAGGGTATTAGAGATGTTTGAACCACCTATCTGGCATACACTCTGTTCACTGGTTGCAAACAGGAAGCTGGTATTTAATAGGTTGTTCAATCAAGCCCTGATCACATGTTGTAGTGAATACATGTACCCTGCCTGTATCTGCATACATTTGTTTGCAAGAAACAGCTGACATGAGTTCATTTTACAAATGAAACTTGGGACCAACACCTGGATAAATGTGGGGTTTAGATTAAATGTTCAGCTGTCCACACTTTGACTGTAACATGAGAATTACTCAAAACACAAATAACAATCATGTGTACACTATACGTGGATTTCATGTGTGTTCACTGTAACTTGTGAATCCGGCTTTCTCCCTCAGTAGTTCAAGTCTAACTAGATTACATTTCCCATATTCAAAACGTACAGTACAATGCAGTCAATATCATTTCATGTACACATGTGGGGTTTGTTTGCAGTCTGGGTCCTAGTTTTCTGTCTCCTGTACAGATCTGGCCTTACTTTGGGTTGCCAAGTGGGGCCTGTAGTTCTCCTGAAATTAAAGTGGATCTCCAGACCTCAAAGATCAGTTCCCCCTGGAGGAACCATACGGTCTAGAGTGGCTACAGAAAGTGGATGCTCTACAACTTCCATTCATCGTAGACACTAGAGAAATGACTGGTAGTCACTTGTAAGAACACTAAAGGCTAGGGGCCAGATGGGGATTGAGAGAGAAAGAGAGAGACGACTGCTCTTGGCTGGTGTCCTCCTCTGGGTCATCAGACTGGATTTTTCTCCTTATCCCAGAGAAAAATCTGGGCTGACTGAGCCTCACGGTTGCCGACTCTGAGTTGGGAAATTTTCTCCAGGGGAATTGATCTCTGTAGTCTGGAAATCAGTTGTAATTCTAGGAGAACTCCAGGCCCCAGCTGGAGGTTGGTAACACTATTTCACAAGGAGTGTTTTTCTCCATTTCAGCAACTCTAGTTGTGCACTCTTTTCTTTTGCCAGTTTGTTTCCACACAATGTCACTCTCCTTTCCTGTTCAAATCATGAATGATCTTTTTTCTTTTAAAAACTCTACTTTTTTGGGGGGGACAATATTTCCTGGCATGGTGTTCTGAGAACGATCTTTTTCTTGCAACCAGAAGGGAAGGTACACTTTCTGTTTGAATGCCCTTTCTTCTGCACATTCAGAATGAATTACCTTGGTGTTGTTCCTGACACCAAGAAAACTGAGGGTGTTTTTTTTTTAATTGGGTCTGGTGGTAAACATTTTTCTCTGCTATTTCAATTAGCATTTGAAAAGTTCCTGAAGAGCTCTCTTCCCTTTCCCCAAGCAGTAGGTGGCCAAATAATTTTTTTTAATGTAGATGACCACAAGGGGATACTCAGTACCTTCCAGCAATTAGCATTACTAAAGGATTCAAGAACTGCATTATTCTGGAGCAGAACTATGCAAATCTGAAGTGTTTACTTTTTAAAAACATAGTATTGCATTATTTTTGAGCAGGGCTACACATGTACCAAAACCAGTTTTTAAAGCTGAGCAGAGAATCATGATAGTGTCATGACATCAGGGAGAGGAGGACATGCAATTCACGTCAAGCATGAAAGGGAAATCATGAATAACTAGGGTAAAAAATTGGATTACCCTGTGCCATGTGGAATTTCTGTTGCAAGTGCAAATTGAACAACAATGGAAAGTAATTTACACAAGCATCTACCAAATTGTGCTTTTATTAAAAAAACAGCTGTATGAAAACATATAACAACAATGGAAAAAAAGGAAAAGAAGGGAGCACATGATCAACATTGTTAAATGTAAACTTGTTTTTATAATTAATGTAAACTTGTTTTTATAATTAAATTAATAACTAGGGTAAAAAATTGGATTACCCTGTGCCATGTGGAATTTCTGTTGCAAGTGCAAATTGAACAACAATGGAATTTACACACGCATCTACCAAACTGTGCTTTAAAAAAAACAAAAAACCCCAGCTGTATGAATACATATAACAACAATGAAAAAAAAGGAAAAGAAGGGAGCAAATGATCAACATTGTTAAGTATTCCTGCACATCAAATAAAGAGATATTTATCTGACTTTTAGGAGATGCCGTCTTCCATTTCCAAAAATGTAAACTTGTTTTTATAATTAAACCCACCTACCTCTTCATTTTGATATGCAGTCACGGCTATGAACTGAGTTTCAGGAAAGGAACAATTCATTACCATCCTGTGTGGGCCTCCGACACGGACAATATGAACCTGAGGCTCATATTTATGTAAAGAATTCAGCATTATCTATAGTGAGGAAAAGGGAGAGCTGGATTAGCCAAAGACAATCCAACTGAAATTAGTGGATATGTGCAGCCTGATCTTATGTTTGTATACTCAAAAGTACGGTAAGCCCCATTTTTTTCTATAGGGCCTGTCCCTGAGAAAGTGTTCATAGGATTGCAGTGCAATTAAAAGCAACAAGATTTGTTCCATTGGTTTCAAAAGGATTCAGTAACAGGTTGAGGTCACTTCCAAATCATTAGACTAGTAGGTACAAAATGAGAGATCACATCTAAGACAAGTTTTAGCAGTGTAGCAGAAAAGAACATTCTATGTATTTATTACATTGGTCTGCCTGAAAATGCTTGTTGAATTACATTTCTTTAAACACTGGAAAATGTATCATTCCAAAAGGATTGAATCTTCTTTTGAAGGTAAATTAGAAGACCATGATATTAAGCAAAAGTCAACAATTCTTGGAAATATTTGCAGGCAATATAATCAAAAGATTGTCCCCTATATCATCACTACCCCTTTCTGAATATATTGACTGGCTGGTCAGTATACACCACAAATCTTTTAGTCCTGATGTCTTGGGGGGGGGGGATACATGTATTGTAGCTGTCTCTTTTCCCTGGGTTAATAGCAAATTGGAACGCTTTAGACAGGGACTGTGGCGCAGTGGCCGAGCATCTGCTTGGCAAGTAGAAGGTCTCAGGTACAATCCCGAGCATCTCAAAAGGACCAGTAAGTAGATGATGGGAAAGACCTCTGCCTGAGACCCTGGAGAGCCATAGACAGGGACTGTGGCTCAGTGGTAGAGCATGTGCTTGGCATGAAGAAGGTCCCAGGTTCAATCCCTGGAATCTCCTGTTTTAAAAGTGGGCAGGCAGTAGGTGATGGGAAAGACCTCTATCTGGAGATCCTGGAGAGCCGCTGCCAGTCTGAGTAGACAATACTGACCTTGATGGAGCAAGGGTTTGATTCAGTATAAGGCAGCTTCAAGTGTTAAGGTTCCTGTGAGATTGTCCATTTCTGCTCTTAACTAGTCATTGCTTAATTACTGCAGAATTTAACGGCTTTTAAAGTTAAAGTGCTTGGGGATCTTTAGCCTGGAGAAACAATGACTGACATCTTAGAGGTTTACAAGATTATACATGGGATAGAGCAGATAGAGAAAGAAGTACTTTTCTCCCTTTCTCACAATACAAGAGCTCGTGGGCACCCAATGAAATTGCTGAGCAGTCAGGTTAGAATGGATAAAAGGAAGTACCGGTACTTCTTCACCCAAAGAGTTATTAACACATAGGATTCACTGCCACGGGGGTGGGGGGTGGCTACAAGCATGGACAGCTTCAAAAGGGAATTAGATAAGCATATGGAGCAGAGGTCCATCAGTGGCTATTAGCCACAAGGTATAGATAGGGACTCTCGGTCTTAGGGTTGCCAAATGGGCCC